GAATAACCCCAGTAGAACCAAGATTCAATAATGTTTAAATAGTAATCAATATATCTAACCAGTTTCTAAGATATTTAGTGAATGATAAATTGACTTGATAGCAAAAAAGAAGAAAAAAAATATATCTCAATAATTTGGAAAGTCTTTTGTGTTAACGTACGCTTGAGAGGGAACGAAAACAATGGAGTGTGTTTGAAGTGATACTGATTATCAACCATACGATCTTTGAAGCTGAACACAATTTTCATATTAAACATATTATTCTATATCCAACCCGAATGTATGCTTCATCAGTTCTTGATATTATATTAGTGGCTGTCGCGATGGGACTAGTCAGTATAGGCAATACTGTGAGTTCCACGTGAGACCTTATAGATCAGGCAGTCACATCGTTACAAATCATTCGTCACAGTAGGCAACCCTCGTTCTGTTGATAGAAGAAACCAGACTAGTAGTGAACAGGTCTTTATGTAGCTCGTGTGACAGTCACAGTAGATCTGGAGATTACCTGTTCAAACACACAAATCTTTTCAACGTTGAATATAAGACAGTAGAAAATTTAGTGCCTCTAGGAGGTAAGAAAGTGAATGGATACTTGAGCTCTATTATTTTGACATTTACTTGTTTGTTTGAGCTCAACTCTTAACTAATAAACCTTAGTCGTTAAAAATTTACAATTTTGGGATTAGGTCCATCATTCTAGTAGTGAAGACAAATTCACTTCATACAGACCTAAACCATAATACAACATACTCTCTACTTAAAAATCCTCATAACAGATACATTCAATTAGTTTCTTTTCATCTGGATATCTTGATTCGTCTAAATCATTTAAAAGAGTTGAACTTTGAGGTGTGTTTAATCGGATGACAAGTTCTAAATGGAATGCTTCATAATATTAAATTTGAATATATCCCGGCAACAGGAGTGATGTTTCACAGATGTAAAATATTATGAAGTCGTCACAACCTGAAATTCGTCACCTTAGGAAAAAAGGCACTCAGATATACTCCGGCAATAACCATAGTTGGTGGCAGCAATCGAGTGTAATGAATAGTGCTCGCCATCTTATCAGTGTTGAAAGCGTTCAGGGTGTTTTCAAAAGCGTTTCATCAAGCAGCATTCGGTCCACAAGGGATCAACTAATAAATCTAGAAGAAAGTGAAAATCCGAACATTTTGAAATGTTTATAACTGATCATCAATAAGGGACTCCTCCATCCACCGATTTCTACTCTGTTATCGATGGCTTCGTATGTGACTATTTGTAAGATCATTTAAATGAATTTAGGCGCGACAGTGTGCTACACGCTTCCTGTTTGTTACATGGTAAGATAATTTGTTTCTAACTTGTGAGTAACAACATAAATTTCTCTACGCAGTACGCTAGGTTGAATCCTTCTTACTCTAAATCGAAACTTTACTTTAAGACACGAGTCACTATTGTAATAAAACCACTCAACTGTAAGGTAATGACTTGATGCGACGAATTCATCAACTGTTAAATGCCTCTCATTGAATTGATAATAAACAAAGCTGAACAGAGTCACTTCCAATAGCCTGACTCTAGAGTCTTAGGGTATCGGAATTCGATACTAAATGACCTAGGTCCAACCTCGCTTGTCAGCAAATCTTTTCGTATTCACTTCCAAAAAAGGTTTTGATTTGTGATCACGTATTCTCTTACCTCTTTCAAGGATCCTGTTAATCATGATTAGAGCTATGAAACAAGCCCACCATGCAAAATTGATCTTCTTTTCATTGATTGAACCGCCCGACCAAACATAGATAAATTGTCTGATCAACTTTCAAAGGCATGATAACCATCAGTAATCCGGTTGTATCTAAACGCCCTGTTGTCATGGTAACTATGAAATTCCGGAAATGGTCGGGATAGTAGGTAATTAAAGGTCTTTCAGTTCCAACTTTTGAACATATTTGTGATAACTTCTGAAATGAATACTCCCGAGTGAAGCGAAATGTAAGTCGTGTGTCAATTAATCTGGATGTCTTTTGAATCTTGGGAAAAGTGTATGGGACCTAAGCATGCTGTTCAATCCCCAGTCTTTGATGCAGATACACTATTGGCAACTATAGAGGCTGTAACGAGTTGATACCTCAGCCATGAAATAAAGACAACTGGGAGGCAAACGACAGATACTACACTGGCATTAGATGCTAGCTTCATTGGACACATGCTCAGAACAGATACTTTCAAAACTATCTACATGATGTTTGAAAGATCCCTACGAGTCATCAGAATGCTAGAAGACAAGGTAGCCGACAAATTTATGGTTTCGTTCTAGATCTCATTATTATTTCTTAAAACCCCACTAGATGAAAATATGCAAATCATAAGTGAACACAGTGACGCTCTTAACTTACCAGAGGATGGGTTCAACCAACTATTAATACCATCAACTAAAGATATACAGTTTACATTTCAAAAAATTTTCACCACTGAGTTCAAAGAAGTTTCATAGCTAGACCACTAGGGCCGGTCCAGCAGATTGATTTAAGGGCAACACAGGATGAACAAAAAGAACTCAATCACTAGACGTAACGGTACTTCAGGAATTATTACGACACATATATTGTTTGAAATAGTTATAAACATGCTTCTCGCTTGTCAAATCTGCTGAATAAAGTGTAGTTTATGCGCATTTTAAAATTGAACGAAAATATTTTGGTCGATTCCAGTTTCTCAACACTGACAACTAGCTCAGTATGGAATGCCATGAGGTAGGGTCTATTCGTTGAGGGGCACTTGAAGAGGGATTTATGTGAATCGCTGAAATTTCTGCCTTACGAACAATTATGCGGTTTCGGTTAGATTACTATCCATACGTGTTTTGAAAAAAGCTTTCGGGATAGAAGGTAAAAGAATTACCAACTGGCTTCACAAAAGTTTATCAGTAAGTGTGAAAAACAAGAAAAAAGGGAAACGAAAACTCACGCAATCGCAAAGGTCTGTCTTTTTACCACCTAGCTTCGTAGGTGATAAAATATTGATACCAATTGTTCACAGACTAAGTCCTGAATTGCAAAAGTTCTGTTAAATCACTTAGTTAGCTACAATGTATCAGAGAAGCTGTCTCAATAGACATTTTAAAGTGATCAAATCCTCACCTGGAGTTACTTCCATTCATATATATCAGTTTAAATTTTCATTTTAAAGCTCTTGCACTGGAAGAATAGAAAGTAGTGTGCTTTTCTTCATGTCTTAGTGCACTCCATAGAAGTTGAAATTAAAAGGTCGAGTTGCTCTCAATAGTGCTATTGCTGCCATCCACATGATAATAGACCTGATGTTAATATTTCAGAATTGTTTGAAGTAACTGATACTCAAATAGCTTCATAAATACCAAGGTTTTCTGGACTCATCCTTGCAACAAAGTTGAAACTATAGAAAATGCAAAATGCATTTTAATCTCTCACTGCCATGACAATTTCTGTCTTTCACTAGTGATTTCTTCAATATCCTGTTTTAAATTCTGAGTAAAGTTCATTTCTTTAACTCTTTTTTGCTATTCGAGCTTCACTCATTTCATTTATTATTTATACTTAATTTTAACACAAAGTTTATGCTTTAAAAAGTGTTTGGTCTTTTCTTAATCTTCACATCTAGTAAATTAAATGATAATCAATTTGGTTACTTTTGAATTTTCGTATGCCTTTTTCCGTTTTTCGACCAATCTTCGTTAATATGATGTGAAACAAGTACTTTGGTCGTGAGTAACTACCATTGTGATATATTGGTTTTAGTTAGTTAAAGAAAAACTATAGAACAAACTAGTCAGTCTTATTATATTGAGCTTCCTTGTTCTACTTTGCTTAATTATTTTGCATCAGTCAATTGTGTCACTGTATTTTCGATTTTGAGTGCGATATGATAACACAAAGTCGTCAGTGTCATACTTCACACGATTTTATTGATGAGGCCTCAACTAAGTGGTATATGACATTCTAATTATATCTATTTCGAGGGATTTCAAGTCTGACCATGTTTATATCAATGTGTGGGACCTCTTTATAACTGCTAGATCACAGTAAACAGTTACTTTGAAGGCATAGTTCATGAGTATATTTTGATATTTTGTTCCAGAACTATAAACAGTGGTGTTCTAACGATGATGTACTGGCGACCGAAGTGGAGTTGATGACGATATGTTCTATATTTTGACGATTGTCACCTTCTCTACCACAAAATCGCTTCATGTATTTCACTTCGGAGCTCCAGCTTGTCAGTATTATCATTCAACATTTCTCGTAGGTTTAATTATCGGCCATGAAAAACAATGTTATTCCAAATAGTTTGAACAATCCATTATCGGAAAGAATTAATGGTAAGTTTCTCAGGTATGCCTTACGTAATATGACCTTTATACAATTCCACAATAAAACTGTCCAAGGCAAGGACCGATCGACAGCTTTACATCTTACCTTGGAGTTTCTGAACACTGTTCGTTAGCTAACGCGAGCGGCAAACAAATGGTCTAAGCTGATCAACCAATCCGCATAAACCGGTGGAGATCAGTATGATCACCTCTCTTTCCAAAAATCTGGTTGATGGAAAGGGGAGTACACTTCATACTTATGTACGTGAAAGGTAGTACTGGAGACAATATGCCTCGAGTTGTCTGAGTTCATTTGGGTTAGCTTCACTAGGTCTGGCGCAGGCAGGCCCGATGTATCTAGTTCTCAGAGGTGAATATTAAACCTACTTGTTATTTGAACATGATGAGAGTGTATCGTCAAATGAAGAATACTGACCGAAATAATTTGGCTAACTGTTATTAATTGAAGGTTCGGCTGTAGGAAATACACAGACTATACACCCCTCTGAAATGAAAATCAAGATCGTATTTTGCACTTTCATTCTCAAGTAGCTCACTTATAATGAGAAGACCCTTTATTTTCAGAAAGTCGCACCGTTTAAAACATGAAAAGAATTTCGCTTTTTCAAATGCTTTTACGATTCGAAAATATTTGTTTTAACGTATAATGCGTAGCTTTAGCTAAGCAACAGTTAATACGAGAAGTAGCGCGTGTGTTAACGCAGGAGTGTTTTTTGTTTGTGGAGTTCGTTTTTACATTTGGAGAGGAAATGAAAGATTTCCGACGCCCTAGAACGGGAGAGGAATTTTATGAGTCTTTCGAGGGAGCTCCTTTGTTTACAGCCGTACTCACGTATCTAAGCTTTCTAATATTAAACATCTTGGGGAGGCTTCAAGATTTCCTGAGGTTTATTCATGTATTAGAAAATCATTCAGTAGCAGAAGTACCGCACACTAAATCGTTCGTCCCTCTTTACTCGTCTTATGAGGCTTTTTATACCCGCAATCTATACCGAAGGGCACAAGACTGTTGGTCTAGACCTATTTGTTCTGCTCCAGGTAGTGAAATCGTAGTAATGGATCGTAAATCACCGGACTATGGATGGACATTGAAGTGAGTTGAAATAAGTTATCATGATTATTATTTCTATACACACACAGTTCTAATAAATTTAAAAGCCTTCGTTTTTCAACATGTTTTTTTATGTAAAGAAATGTAATCAAACAGTTATTTATCCCAAAAGTTAATTTATTCTTTGGTTTTTATAAAAAATCTCACTCATTGGTCATCTCTTGTGATGATTTAATTGTTTTCTCTATTTAGTTGGTGAAATATGTTCTTTGATTTTTAGTAGCTAAAAATACTTGGCGGCGTTCTGATTAAATTGTTATTTTAACCTCCTTATGTTCAAGCACTTCTCGTGATATAAAGTATCCATGTTCTGCAATATTTTTTTACATAAATTCAGTATGCCTTGTGTGGTAATAATTTTATTAGCAGTTTAAGAGGCCTATCGCAGATTTATCTACGACTTTGCACTATTTCTCACAGTTATGGTTCATCACTGTCTTTGATGCAAGAAAACTTCATCTAATCTTTTGGGGGAGAATTTACGGATTTTTCTGTGTTTATTTAGCGTTAATGACACACTGTAGCCTCTAAAACAGTAAGTTTTCAACTACTGAGCTGCGAATTAAGACACATTTACCCTTATTTCAACCTTTATGATCGTTTGTTTACGGTATATAAGGGTTGATTACACATATCTTTTACATTTTAAGCTGAACGAGAGCAACGGAAACAACCTCTTAGAAATTAAGAAACCCATCATCCGTGAATAAAACCGTCTTATACCCACCACATACTGATGTAAACCTTTAAAGCGAGTTTATGATATTAAGATTATGCAATATTCCAGATAAATATCTAAAAAGCAAACGAATAATCTTGATTCTTTATACCATTTCTGTTGTTATCGCTGCTGTGACTCTGTTTCTCGTTGTGTTGATGAGTATGTAAATATTGTTTGAAACTTGATTAGTGTCGGTTATTCCAAACAGTATAACTGGTTTTTCATATAGAATTTTAGTGTTCGAAACGAACATTGTATACTACTAGGTTCCACAGTCAAATACAAGGATATTCGGAAAAGACCCAATTCTTATCTCTAAGAAGAAAGATATACACCCAGGAGAATCACTGTATCCCTCCTTTGACCACTGCTGATAATTTTTTCAAAATTTCACTCCATCGGAAATCACTAGTTTGTCAATAGAGTAACTGAAAAAAGCTGAACCAAATATGAATGCGCGACATTTTCTTCAACTGTAAACACAAATATTCGAAATCAGTCACCAAGAATCTATTGATGTATTATAATAATAAGACGTATTTGAGATGATTTGCCAAGTATGCTCGAAACAGTGCAATATAAGGCAGGTAGAAAAAGAGGAAGACTTACGAACATATTGCATTGGATATTGGAAGCAGACGCCAAAAGAATGACTAGCAACTGAAAACAACTGGAAAGGATTACCCAGAACAAAGTTTGATGAAGAAAGCTGGTGGGTGGCGTATGCTTCTTCACGAGTAATTAAGTAAGAACTAGATGAGAACAACTGGACATATAATATTTGGAATTTGTAGTAAGTGCCCAATATAGTACAAAGAAACCATCAGTTAATTTAATTGCCACACTCAGCTAAATGACAGAATGGTAGCAGAAATGATCACTAAAAATTCCAGGTAAATACAAGAACTTAGAAGGCGCTTCCGAGCTTTGAAAGTAATTTTATTGTATAGTGTTATTAGATACAACAAATCATTCAATACTATTGAATAAAAAAGTTAGTATAATTCATAAAAAGCTGAAGTACGTGGATATTAAGTGATTAAATATGATATACAATGTGCAAGACCTACCAATAAAAGTATGAACGACTAAAAAGCACAATATGGATTAAATCGTCCCACTAGATGCTTGTTAACTATACATATTATCACTGTAAAACATTAACTTGTATTTCTGTAAATTTGAGCCTTAAGAAATTGTTTCAGTTCATACTGTTGGATAAATGGCTTTAGATGTTACAGATAACAATGATTTGTACGTGTCTAAATGGTATAAAAACGCGATATGTGTCCCGATTTTGTTTTAGATACTGATAATCAATGTCCTTTTGTCATACAGAAAATTAAGAAAAGTATTCGTCAAGTTGGAGATCCCGAACATATCTGCTTAATTCCGTAGTTTTACTGGTTGGTAACTGCATATTATGGGGACTTGAGACGTTTTAATGCGAAAAATTAACTCTGACAAGGAACCTGTTGCTTTTTATTACGAAAAATAGCCTATGCATCGTTCAAACGACGACCATAAGTATGATGAGTCTAATTGCAGTTCATTTAAGAACATCTCAGAGTAGTATGAAAATCAAAGAGGATAAGAATAAATCATGTGGTGACCAAGCCCCACATCATCCTATACAAACAGATTGTCTGTTTGGTCGACCTAGAATGAAAATACTATGAAAAACTTGTATTGGAAAAGTACTTGAGAAAGAAGATACGATCCCCAATGAGCTGTAATGAATTTAGAATCATCGTCAAATCTGAGTTACGCAACTGTGGTGTATAGATTATGAAATTTTAAGGCATATAAATTACTTCTTGATAATAGTTTCTTTTAGAAGATAGACTTAACAAACACATTTTTTTCGAACAACTTCAGATGAAAAGTCAAGATTTTACTCGAGTCAATAAAGTGAAGGCTTAATCCACTAAAATTTCTTACTGTTTACGTGTTTTTCTTGCTATATATGAGGTCGCCATAGGTTTGGAAAGCATAAAAGACTACTAAGCTGATGTTATATTATTTGATGTGAGCGCACGTGAACATATTGACCGATTACTTGCACAATGAAAAAGATTTCATGGGAAAAACTTACTACTGAATAATCCGAATCGGTTTTCTAAGTTAAAGAGATGGCATATTTGGGATTTACGGTGTGTATGTTTTGATCCCAACTATAATCTTGGTCTAGTTTCATTTTATTTACGGAAACCAGGTAAATACACTACAATAATAGATCTTTGGGAATAAATTCAAATGTTTCCTCTAAATCATTTGTGAATTCACACAATACTGCTTTATTATCAGGTTGTCGTATATATACTTTTGGATAGTGATGCTGATGATGGTGATTTCTATACAAATTTGGTATTGTTTATTACTTTCACTTTCGATTAAGTTATCGTATGTAAAACGAACTTTCACCCTTCACTTAGTGCTTACATTTGTTTTTCTATCGTTCATTTCAGTTTTACAGGAACAAAATCGAAGGTTTTGAACTTAGGATCATACAATTATTTGGGATTCGGGGATCCCACTGGACCTTGTACTAATGCTACAGAAAAAGCCACAATAAAATTCGGTGTAGGTGTAGCAAGTTCTAGACAAGAGGCCGGAAGCTTAATATTACACAAAGAACTCGAAGATTTGGTTGCTGAATTTGTTGGACAAGAAGCAGCTATTGCTTTCAGTATGGGCTTCTCAACCAATTCACTAAATCTGCCATGTCTAGTTGATAAAGTGAGCTATTTTTTTGGCACGAATTTATGAACAGATGTTTATATAGTTATTTATTAGTGGTTTTGTTTTCTTGTTGCTGATATTCAGCGATGAGTTTTAGTCAGTCTCTGATAGTTTAATATACACACAGAGCTCATGGTTTTGTGTTACCTTTCGATTGCAAGTTTAATTATATATTTTAACCAACGGTCAGAATGAAACCCGAGATGATAGTTTTGTCCTATTTAGTACTTATCAAATTCATATACATGGATCCTTGTGTTAATGTCCACACTGAGACTTATGTCTGGTACAATTCTCGATATTTGAATAGCTGAACAGTGTGTACCGATCATGGGACTATTCACAGAAGCTTTAGATTCAAATTATTCTTTTTTATGAAAGGTTGTATCTATTAAATTATGTTTACATTACATATATATCTGAAGGAAAACTGTTAACTAAACACCTTTCATATCCCTTTCAGTAAGTTACACGGTGTCAATGACTCACATCAAAGTAACTGATGCCACAGTTGTATTTAATCTTATTGTATGTCTGTTTGTCTCCAAGGTGTGTAATTTTCTTAACACTTCTCAACAATAGAAAATACTAACAGTATGGGAATATGTGGAGATTAGTGGACGTCATTGATATCACAATTTTATCAATCGTCTACGAATGAAATATCCATGTCAGGTATTAAAAAATAGTTACTCCACACATATGTTTATCTATCTAAACACATATGCATTGGTACAAAGGGCACTAAATATATATGTGTTGCACAATAATAATAAGGTTGTGAAGGGATAGGGAATATAAATTACCTATAATAAAAAGGAGAACAACAACGAACAAAAATTAGTGTATGAGAGCAAGATAATAACAACAGTAACAATAATAATTAGAGAAACGGTTCTGTTAGTAAAGATATAACCAGAAAGAATTCTTCCATTTAAAGAAGTTACGTTCACTTTTACAAAGAAAGTAAAAGAAAGTTACAACAGGGTCCCCATCGGTTTCTAAGCTGAACCATGTCTGATAACGTCTCTAGCCACTGTGTTGCACTATCTCGAGTACCTCAACCAGGACGTGGTGAAGGACCAACAGAAGGCAGTATTGTTCAACTTTCTTTCATACCACGACACTGCATCATACGCCGACCACCTCTCTGCTTTCCCCAACCGGTCTCAGTGCTGAAAAATTATTCACGACGTGGAATTCTCTGGGATGACATTCGTAGAACATGTCCAAGTCACCGAAGTCGATGTTTCAAGATAGTGACACTAATTGAATTATCGTCACTGTGCCCGAAGACACGATGCCGAACCTCTGCATTACTAAAATAGTGTTGCCGCTGAATGTCAGCATTCGTTCAGAGACAACAATAGTGAAAAAACGGATTCGTCTAACACCCTTAAACTGTAAAGGCCAGGTCTCACAAGCAAAGAGCAAACCTGCTCTCACCGATGCCTTGTAGATCCGACCTTTCACACCTAGACTAACATAATGACGACAGCAAAGATGGCCCAACTTGACATAAGCCAGTCTGGCTTTCAATATACATGAATTGATCTCATCACTCACGCCACCATTAGCACTTATGTAGCTACCCAGATACACAAACTTCTCGACTACTTCTGTTTGCTCACTACCGACGGGATTAAGGTCCTGTTAGTCTTGTAAAAGTACTTTGCACTTAGAAGGTGCGAAACACATAGCATACCTACGGATACTGGCTGCCAACTGATAAAATGGTGATTGCATGGCTTGAGTATCATTGGACAGTGAGACAATATCATCCGCATACTCAAGTTCGTTCTCCAGACAGCAGATTCACACCACTATTACCTAAATCCATCAGAGCTGTTTCTGGAACATCATCGATAGCAAAGTCGAAGAAAAATGGTGAGATTGGGCAACCATGCTTAGCCCCATTGATTTAATGTACCAGTGGAGTGAGGCGGTTGTGTGCGTTCACTCTGAGGTGTTAGTATATAGGATTTCAAGATGTTAATAGACTCAGACACATCCTTCCTCTATAGACAATCCCAGAGAACAGTTCACTCCAACAAACCGAAGGCGCTCCTAATGTCAAGAAACACGATTGCTGACCTGTGATAAGTATGACGGTGTTCTAACATTTGGTGGAGGGTGAAGATATAATCAATACATCTTCAACCAAAACAAAAACCAGCATGCTCCTCATTAGTCAATCTTTCTCAGGTTTTGAACAATCTACGAAGTATGGCGTAAGTCAATAGTTTGGACGCAATCGGAAGTAAACTTATCCGCCGATAGCTGTTGCATAAAAGGCGTGAACCCTTTTTAAAGATAACACAACTATCCACTCATTCCGTGATGTTGGAACACTCTCTAATTACCCGACCTTTGTAAATAACTTAGTCAGTACCATAACCAGTAAGTCGCCACCATCTTTGAAAATGACCGGAGGTAAGTCATCTGGGCCTGGTGACTCGTGGGGCTTCAAGAGTTGGAGCTCCTGAAAACTTCACATCGTTAGATGGATCAGTCGTCATGGTCCATGTGGGGCAGGACAGTTTAGTCGATGTTCCGGGGCATCAGACCAGTTGAAATGCCCTTCGAGAAACTCTGCTCATCGTCCAAGGTGTCGGCATATGTCACTGATTGGCGTCCCGTTAGCTTCACAGATTGTTTCACTCACACCAGGCTCCTCGCTACCGGTGACTCGGATGAGTTGAAAGAGCCTTCAGAAGTTACCAGATTCAGCTGCTGTTCCCAACTCGTTAGCAAGCTCCAACCACCAGGCTTCTCGGTCCTTACGCAAGCTTTGCACTATTTTACTAGGTAAAAATCTTCGTTTATGGTCAAACTCGCAGTCACCCGCAATAGACCGACGTGATACAATGAGATGTAAGGAGCTTGTAGACACCCAGCGCTTGAAAGTGGGACGTTTCACGAAGCTGCAAGCTACTTTACTCTCCATTTTCATGGCGTCATGCAATTACAACTAATACTCATATATAATTTTCGGTGGGATGGTAGCTGGCCTTGAACCTAACTCAGGTTTATATTTAGTTGCAACAGGAGCTGCGACCAATTTACTGACATCGATCAGTTTAAGACAATGGACTTTTTGGTCACTGAAACGTCAGGTAAAATTATCGCAAACAAGTGCAAGATCAGAGTCTAGATAGGGACTCCGAAAAAAAGCGGTAGCCTTGTACACAACCAGGCCAGAGGTAGCTAGTCGCAATATAATCAATCTGAGTTCAAGTTTGAGATGTAGAGGAAGGGCACCGGGTAGCACATCGGCGATGACTGTGGTTGTAGTTTGTGCTAATCAGAAACAGATTGGGTCTATGCAAAGTTGCAGTAGACGGTTATCATTATCTAACCTGCGACCAACAAGTCCCCATCGGCCATCTAAACGACTCTCTTCTGTGCCTAGATGCCCGACCTGACCATTTGTATCTTCGGCCAGTACTACAATATCTTTCGAAAGCACTTTCTGTAGAAGAACAGTTAACTCGTGGTAAAAATGATTCTTGGTCGCATCCGGGCAGCGATCTGTCAGAGCATAGACGGAGACGACGAAAACACATCATTTATCACGACGATTTCTTCACACTTTTATGGAACTTCTTAATCTAACAGTACATAAACAACTGTTAATGGGAGTCCAATAGATCAGTGCTGCTTTAGCTCTAGCGCTTGGTGCGACAATAATGTCAGCAAAACCAGATGAAGATGCCACAGGGTCCCCGGATAAACGCAAGTAAAACAAGCTTTGCGAAGTGGCAGATGGAGGGCGAATTTGTAGTACTTTACTATAGTCTTGAATACAGGTCTCGGATAGACAGCAGACATCGCTGTTGAAGCTTTCTAAACGCAGTCAACCCTGTCTGCTCTCTGATCTGCTTTAGTATGCGAACGTTTAAGGTAGCCATTTTGAATGGCATACGTGGTTCTAGAAAGACTTTTAATATTCGTAATCGGTGGTAGCAATCGACTCTCGACCAGTCGGTGACTTGTGATCGTTTAGATAGGACAGGGTTTCCACCATGGGTGAACTTCTGTATAAGTTGTAAAATAAAATGCGCAAAGTGAGAGTAAGGAGTACATAAGTGACGAAGTACAAAGAAAACAAAAACGACTGTAACCAAATGGTTGTGAATATGACTTTTCTGAATGAGCGTTGAAACAAGAGAAAATGTTCCAGCATTAATTATCATTGATTTGTGTATGAGCTGGGATAATACCCGAGTGCCCAAACCAAAGTCGGTGGTGTCCCTAGGGGGTCACTCCCCGAGCCTTTGACCTATAGATCTAATTCGAAAAGTAGTGGAGAAACGTTAGGAGATGACTTCCCATGGTAGCCGATGACCATTTGCTATTCGCCCCCTCAGGGTTCTGGAGCCCATTTGCACCATTGGTTTGGAATCAGGGTTTCCTAACTCCCCTGGGTGGATCCTCTGTACCCATTGATCCGGTTAAAGCGCCAGACATTTACTTTCCGTCCTCTCAGTTTGTTCAAACAATATCTCTGCCGCGAGAAGGCAGTGAGTGGGACTTCCCTGTCAGTAGCTGTATACGTGTGGCCATGTGAGAGCATTTCGAGAGTGAGAGTGGACTCTCCTCACCCTCGGCTGTGCCAGGATTATTGGGGGTAAGTAGGAACAATAACGGAGCGGATAACATGCATATAGCATATAACCCTCTTTGATCTTAACATACAACAATAGCGTCCCAACGCCCTTGGTAGATCAGACAACCCGAAAGTCACGAGAACACCATCAGGAATACGACAGGCAAGGTACCCCCACACATATAACTTATCTATATCTGAATTGAAACTTAACGATTTATTAAATCAGCCAGTGTTATAAAACACGTTTGAACCGATATGGTTTGTGTAAGACTCCGCAGAGTTCTCTATGTTTTAATAAAATGCAAATATATCCATTCGCCTTTCGCTAATATGACAGTCGTAAATAGGAATTAGAGGCGAGGATCATGTAAATTTTAAAGCGAAA